AAGCTATTTCCAAAAAAATAAATTTCTGATGCTTTGACATTTGTTATCAATAATTCCTTAATTTGATTGAGTCACTAATAAAATCAAGTTTTTAGTGGATTAGCAATATTCAGATTTATTTTGTCATATTTAGGACTGCACAGTGACTATATTTACGCCCTGTAATGTCAATATCTACAATCATGCTAACCTTGGCTGTGTACACTGTCAAATTATTATGTGCATGAACCTTACTCCAAATTCCCAACAGAAAATAATGGAGGTCAACTACCTGGGCAGTGTTTATCCCACGCGTGCCGTCATAACCACCATGAAGGAGCGGCGAATGGGCCGCATCATGTTTGTGTCATCCCAGGCAGGGCAGCTCGGACTCTTTGGATATACTGCCTACTCTCCATCCAAATTTGCCCTGCGTGGCTTAGCAGAGTCCCTGCAAATGGAGGTGAGTTCAATTCCCTTTAGCCCAAACATGGTCAGTAATTTCAGGGCCTTTGTATGAACCCACTCAATGGGCCAACACGTTCACTTGATGAATATTTATTACTCTGCCAATAAGCAGACTTGACACATCTTTTTTTAATGGCTTTTTAATAGTTTCTCCCTGTAGTGGCTTCTGGGTAAATGGTAAAACAGCAGATACATCATTTAACTTTAGTGAGAGTCGTAATTTTAGTGTGACATTTATTAGACATATTGAAAAAGTCACTATTTAATCACTTTTCAGGTTAATCACCACATCAGCTGCGTTCAGGAAATACAGTACAGTCCTGTAATTTAAATTTTAATGTCAAATGGCCTTTACTGTTGAGGCCCATGTCTTCTGTATGTTTGGTATTAAAGTAATTCGTACTAAGTACTATTTTTTTCTCATGGTTTTCTTTCAGCTGAAGACAATTTTTGATAATAGAATAATGGATTTTAAAAGAAAAATTCAGTTGGAACTATCTTGTTTAAAATTGTAATGTATGTGTACATACATAGAAACTGTCAAATGTTATATTTCTAACTGGTATATGGTTTCATATTAAATTGAGTATTTGTTGTTGTTAACATTATTATTTTTCAATGGTTTTGCTTCAAATAATTTTAATTTAAAACTGGGAAATTATTTATTTATATTAATTATATTTATTTTTTGTAAAAGGTGGATATATATATATATATTAATAACCAATTAAATAATTGATACAATGACAACTTGCAAACAACTGCATTTCTGACCTGATACTTGTTTTCACTACAGTGGGATAAAGTGTATTTGTCACTGGTTTTACTCGTGATCAGTGAATCCAAGCTTCCTTGTCTGTTTGTTTGTATTTGTTGTTGTTGTTCATCGTGATGATGTCACATGACCACACATGATGATGCCAGTTGTTTTTTCCCCTTTTTCTCCAGATCAAGCCGTACAATATTTACGTGACTGTGGCCTACCCTCCTGACACTGACACACCAGGGCTGGCTGAGGAAAATAAGACAAAGGTGAACTCTTCAGTACAGTCAGGAGTGTCTCAGTCATTTTCCCTCATAATGGTCAACTTTTACCAACTGTGTTTGTTCTCCACCAGCCTCTGGAGACCAAACTGATCTCTGAAACATCTGGAGTGTGCCAACCAGAACAAGTTGCCAAAATTGTTGTGCGGGATGCAGTGGTGAGGCGTTGACTTTGTCTCTACTGTATTATGGCCTAGTCATCGAGCCCTGTTCCCTTTTTTGTATTAAGCTAATGCTGTCTTGGTTGGATAACTTGGATGTTGCTAAATACACAGTGTATTCAAAGGCAGACAGAGCTATGGTTAATAATGGTAGTGGGATTAACTTAACCTAATAATCAAGGACCCTCCATTGTTATTGTTTGCACAGATCAAAATGCCAGACTTTGACTCTTGACTTAAAATAAACATCTTTATTGTGGTTTTCTATTGAGTATAATATAGCAGTAACTGAACAATGTTTTGGTCCAAACTAATAAATTATTGACTTCACGCTGATTTTAAAAATATTTTTAGTTGAAGACTGGTTGCCTGACGCTCCTGCGATTTTCTTCCCTTTTTGCAGCAAGGGAACTTTAACAGTTCTGTGGGACCTGACGGCTATATGCTCTCAGCTCTCACCTGCGGAATGTCCCCCGTCACTTCTATCACAGAGGGTCTCCAGCAGGTACAGGCACATGAATGATAAATGGAACACGGGCTCTCTCCTGCAGACTGCCTCTTACTGATAAGTGATTTACATTGTTGTCCCCGCCTTTTATTCCCCATTCAGATTGTCACCATGGGGTTATTCCGCACCATCGCGCTCTTCTACCTGGGGAGTTTCGATAGCATTGTGCGCCGCTGCATGATTCAGAGAGAGCAGTTGAGAGCCGCCGACAAGACGGAGTAATGTCGGCCTCAGCTTCTTCACAGCCCACTTCCCTTCCTCTTCTACGTCTTCCTCCTCCTCTGCCCATGTCTCCGTCCCCTCATCCAGCTGTACAGGTGCACAAACGCAGGTGGGAAAGAGGCAAAAGCGTTGAGTGTGTTCTTAATGGGATGTGAAAAATGCTAGATGTTTACTCTTTGCTTGTCGAATAGTTTTCACAGCCATTACAGTTTCTCTGTCCTTTCTGAGCATTCCAGTGACATTTTTCCTTTGACGTGTCCACCTGCTCTTCTTGTTGGACCATTCTTATACTTTGAGGTAAAAGGCAGACTAAACAAAAACACTTTAAACACACAGCCTCTGCCAACAACAAACATTTCAGATTACAGTCATCCCGGCCTCTACAGGCACAGTGTTCATTTTCCTTTTCAATCACTAAGACGAAAAGTAGCCGATAGTCTATCTGACTATTTGTGCCAAAAACAGCCTAAAATATTTTCCCACTTTGGTTCCACTTTGTGAATATATTTTACTATCTTTACTAAAATCCTACCATCTTCTCCAGCCCTCTGTTTGTACCACAAGTCTTCGCAGGCGAAGCGCCTTCCCTTTTTTTTCCCCAAGCACGTCTCGTGCGTTTCGACGCAGCGACCCAACACTTTGTTAAAGGCGTGTGATGTTTTTCCTTTTGTGCTTGTTTTAATTTGAATGACATCAGAGAGCACGAGGGCGCGTGAAGATTCTATTTTTCAGTCAAGTTTTGACATTATTTCTACCAATGCAAAAATCTACAATACTTTCCAAAAAAATAACATTTTTTTAAAAATGCCACAATTTAAATTTAAATTGTGCTTGTGTGTTTATATTTGCTGTGACTGAGCCCGCAGCGCAGGGAGAGAAAAGCCATTCGATTTTATGTTCCTGCAATATTGCACCAAAATGATTCATGGTCCTTCCAGTTTATTTCTTGAGTAAAAAAACAGGTACGAGTTGAGTTAAAGCCATGTAGTTAAGATGGTGAAAAAAACAGTCAGGTGACCAGTTTCTGCATTTCCATTACTTTTCCTTTCTTACTTGTGTGAAAGGAAGTGTTTCGTTTTTACATGCAGTTCATCAGTCGTGTATCTGTGCACATTTTAGCCACCCTAACGTAGATCCAGGTGGGATTTATTCTGTCGGGGTGGTGCAAGTCAGGCATTGAGGACCAAACTTGCTGGTTTGAGTTTGGACCCAACAAGTTTAAAAAAAGAAAAAAAAAAGTTGGAAATGTGTTTTACAATAAAAACAACAGTAGTTGAGGGACTTCCATGGAGGTGGGAATTTTGTCCTTCTGAATTTATTCTGCTGTTACTCTGCACAAACAGGACTGTCTATCCCTCAGTAGTCTGTTTATCGTCATTTCAGTTGAAAAATTGTGATGTATCATACAGTAGTACTACTCTGGGTTCAAAGGGACGAAAAAGTACAGCGTTGTTTTGCAAGTCTTCCTCTGGTCAATTCTAAACAGGGAGAATGTACTTTTTACAAATCGGAAATTAAGGATATTATTTTCAAAATGCACCAATAGTTGAATGCCAAAATGTGATAAGACCATTTTTGTAGATGCAGTGTGTTACGTTGAGATTCATTTCGGTGTCGCTGCTCTGTTGATCCGTAGAATTAGTTTGTAAGGAAGGAAACTAAAAGATGTGGAGCGGTGTGAGGAGCCATTCTAAGCCTTAATGACATAACTACTGACGAAGCTAATGCTTTAAGAATGGATCCGTCCACACAACAATGTGGCCTAACCCACATGTGGTTTACCAGTTCAATTTTTAAATGTGACTTTTCAGTGTTATTTTTTTTTTTCGTTCTGTGTTTTTGTCGATATTCCGTCTTTGTGTGAGAAAAAGCCTTAGTGAAATCCAAGATATGAAAGTGAGAATGGATGACTCGTGTTTGATGATGTTCTCATTTGATTTTTAGTTGGTTTAAAGGCACAATGTCTTGAGCTTGAGGCATTTTCTGAAATGTACATCTGTTGCTTTCAGGCATTCTCTTTACTTTCCCTTAAAGTAGCAGCTCTCAGTTATAGATTATGTAGCCCATGTAAAAGCAGTTCCGTTTTAAGTCCCTTTAAGCTATGCAATTGAAGCCTCTGCTTGCAATATGGTTAAACGCATAATACATAATTTATGTAACAGTGACTAATTTCCCTATTTATATCCTCGTAAAAGTCATTACACTGTTTTGTTTTTCGTTATTTGCTTTCATTCGTTCAAGTTTTCTGCCAAAAACAAACACGTTCACCTTGTGTGCCATGGACAAATGTGAGAAGTGAACTTTTTTTTTTTGTCTTATTTTCTTACATGATAAACTAAATAAATAAATGTCAGGAAAAAAACCCAAAATAAAATCATGTTTTTATTGATGTGTTTAATGAGAAGTCAGTCAATATAGCCGCTGCCTTTTAATTAAATCCATCACTTAAAATGTACTTCTGTTTAGAACTAGATTGTCACTATATCAATTTGTTGAGTATAAATATGAATAACACTAATGGTAGTTTAAAGGCAGCAAGTGAAAAAATTGAAATTTGTTGACAATATATTAGTACATCCTGTCAGTTCAGACAGAGGGCAGTGTTGCTGCGGGGTGGTGCGTTTTTTTTTATACATTTAATAAAACCGAAATTGGCCCTGTTTATATGCAGAGTAATTGATCTACCTGTCTATTAATTTTGAGTGGAATCCTTTTATTGTTCTTCTGTCTTTCAAACCTCCTTGTTATATTAAACTCCACGTGTGAAGTTTTTGAATTTTCTATTTTTCAAACTTAGGTTGATAAGTCTCATTTCAGCACGAATGAGCCGCGACTTTTGGAAACTGCATGCACGTGTATTCCTGGGATGGTGGTGGTAAATTTAATGTATTCCCTTTGATGAGATTTTAATCTTCCATGAGGGGGACTTTCCAGCAGCCCCCTCTCATTTTTGCTTCATGCTACAAGATTTCAGACGCTTTGGTTTGTCCCATCTGAGAATAAGAAGCAGAGATATGGTCTGAGACCAGAGAGGGCATCAAAGACCTGGGGAAACTGTATACAGGTACATTAATTTTGTACTGCAACACTGAATGTCAGACCACAAGGGGGTGGCTGGACCACATCAAAGAGCGTCTCCCTGTGAATGGGATGATCCTGTGCTCCGCATGAATTAAACACGACCGTCTTAAGGCACGTGTGTTGCTCCACAGCCAAATAAATGCCCTCCTTGTCTGTATTTCCAGGCAAGTTGTGTATTTCTGTGCTAACGGGGACGCACTTAACGAGGAGAGTTGTGTTTTTAAGTGTGCTTGGAGACTCCGAGCGGAGTCACAGGAATTTGTGTGCGTGGCTGACGTCAGGAAAACCTCACATGCAGAGTGCAGCCCACTGCTAGTGGGCTGGGTGCTGCGCTGAGGAGGATCCGAGCAGCAGCCGTGGGAGACGAGGGCTCAGTCCGACCTTGTCCGGCGCACAGTTGCGCGTAAACGCTGCTGCAACACTTGGCCGTTTGACGGTGGTCGGTGCTGTGTGTAGTTTTCTTTTCTTTTCATTTGTAACCCATTTACTCCTGGGGCTGAGTGTGCACGGGAGATCGACACTACTCCAATCCTCTTCCGCATATTCGATTTCCATGCAGAGAGAAGGTCGTCTGCGTCTTTCCAAGGATTCGGGAAATGAAGACAGCTGTCCACAACGACTCGGGACATTTCTGACTTTTGACGCGTTTCTTCAACAGTTTTAATTTGGGAATTTTTCCCAACTTTGACAGCGTTTTTGCTTCTTAACTGGGATTCCTAGTCGTACTGCTCGCATTACAGTATATATTAAAACAGTTTTTTTTCTCAGCGTGGGAAAAACGCGTGAGGCGCACACATCGATAATAATGATGCATTCCATTTAGGACAGCTTTTGTATGTACTTGGTGCCAAATTCTGCTGGAATGGCGAGCGAGTGTAACCGCTATATAGTGGAAAAGTACATCTGCCATAAACTCGCCAAGCGTGGGTACGTGTGGGAGCACGACGAGGACCGAGATGGAGACGCTGCTAATAATGGCTCAATAGTTTCCCGTCCACCGACTCTGGTTCACCGGTGCCGTGGTGCCAGCACCGGGCCTGGGAACGACGGCATCCCTAACCTCTGCAAACGGCCACCTGCGCCCGAGGCGCACGCCGCCATTCACAGAGTCCTGCGCGAAGCCGGAGACGAACTGGAGCGACTGTACCAGCCGGACTTCTCAGAGATGTCACGGCAGCTCTATCTCACCTCCAGCACGGCGCAGAGGAGATTCACCGAGGTGATTGACGAACTGTTCCGGGACGGCGTGAACTGGGGCCGGATTATCGCCTTCTTCGAGTTTGGAGGCGTCGTGTGTGTGGAGTGTGCGGCTAAGGAGGACTTGACGCCGCAAGTGGAGCAGGTCGTGGACTGGATGACAGAGTATTTAAATGGACCTCTTAACATCTGGATTAAAGAGAACGGGGGATGGGTAGGTGTCATTTCGTGTCGTTGAGCTATTTGCATTTGTGTGCCACGGTGGCGCAAAAGTCAGCGAGCTGATGGTGCGAAATATATGACGCGCTGACCTGTATTTACATCAGACGTAACCGTACATTAGGATGTGTTTAATGACAAACATATAGACCACATCTGTGGACGGTCATTAATGAGAAAGCAGCTCTATATGTGTCTATGACGGTCGGCCTCACTCAGGTGCTGCTCCGATTGGGCACTCACAGTGGCTGTAAAGTGATTTGACCAATCGTGTCAGGGTCCTCTGTCACACCTCCCGACGCTCCAGCAGAGAGTCCGCCCTGTCAAGTGGATTGCCAGTGGCAGCCACGCAGATGTCAGGAAGTGTGCGGGGTAGGAGCTGTGCGTAATCCTTGGGAAGAACTGAGCCCACAAATCCGGTATCCGATGTGTCACAGTAGAAAAGCTCGACACGGCTGTTTGAGCATTCACGTTTCCGTGAAACCGTGTGTACACTAGTGCAGTTGTCATCCTTTACATGAAGTCGTGACTCCTGAGAAGGAGAGGAGGAGGCGAACAGCGAACCAATGAATTCATCTCTCTGACAGCCATATAAAAAGGGAACAACAATTAATCTAGATTCTCCTTCAACAGACTAGAGTCAAATCTTTTGAAATTTATTCCAGTTTTTAATACGATGCAAATGTTTTTTTTCTTTCGTAAATGTCACAATATCAACATCCAGGCAGCTGAATTGGATGTCAGATGTGATATACTTGCGTCATTTTTAAAGGTCCTGTCACTGTAGGTAGAATCTGTGAGACTTGGTGACACCTAACGGCGACACTGCACAGTGCAACAAATACAAATACAGCACCCCTCCCTATAGCTAGACTGAAGTATG